TAAAACCTTCATCCCACACTGCTCACATGACCCCAGGGATCTGAGGAAGTACACTTTGGCTGATTTACAAATTTTCAGGCTTGATTAAATGGACTATTTGTCAAATAAAGTACTTTTCAAACAACAAAAGAAGCCAGGCAAAATGAAAGTGTGCACAAATCACTTGGTGCTGCAATCCAAGCGGTACGTCCCCAGAAGAGCTGGAAGGGAACAGAATTCCTATGTCCAAGGTGTCACTCCAATGTCAGGCTCATGTGTGTTCGTTTACCTTGTGTTTAGATTCTCATCAGGAAAATGTACACACCCTACAGCTGACACTGATATCTGGAGCCTTTCTGGGTTCACCCTCAGTGGCCTTTCCCAGCATTGAGGCCAGAAGTCAAGGTTGTTTTGAAGTAGCTCTCTGGGTCATATAGGAAAGAAAGCTCATTGCCAAGTCTGTGTATGACTGTGTCTCCTCCCTAGGACCCATCCCTGTCCCATGTCACTCAGATCCTTCTGAAAACACAAGCAGATGTGAAGATTCACCACACCATCCACTCCGGACATCTCTCTGCTCAGAGAACAGTCACCATGAAAAGTGTCATGTACCCCCACCACACAGAATCCAGGTGTTTGCCAGAGAAGGCATGTACCCAGTGGTGCAAATGGTGGTTTCTCTAAGCCAGTGGATCTCAACCTTCCTAATGCTGCAACTCTTTAATACAGCTCCTCATGCTGTGGTGACCCCCAAACAAGATTATTTTCATAGCTACTTCACAACTGTAATTTTGCTACTATTATGAATCATAATGTAAATACCTGATAATGTGACCCCCAAAGGGGTCTCCACCGACAGGTTGAGAACTGCTGCCTCACTACTGGGCTTAAGGACAAGGTTATCAACTTTACAGAGTGCTGTCAGGAGCCTGTGTCTAAAGGGTGCATGGCCCGTGATATTCACACTCAAACAGAAAATCCCCAAATGTGCCCTTCTGACCCCAGAGTGCTTGCTTCCCTAAGACAACCACGTCTGAAAAAGAAATGGAGCCACTGGCTTGGTTGGGAACCCTTTCTGTGGGCTTGTGCTTGCTGGGCTAACAGGCTTCCCCTTGATTGGTTCTTAGTTTTCACCTCATTTGCATACATACACCCAGTCAATCAGAGTCTGCCTGGGTCTATATAACTAGGTTCCTGGCCTCTATATTGTCAAATTCATTAGACAACTCCTTGGGGAACGAAAAACAGGTGGCAACTCCTGCCTTTGAGACTCCCTAGACACATTCCTATAATGTCTGCAGCACCTGGCAGAGGGACTCATTCCTGCCTCAGCCTCTTGGGTCTCTTTCCTTCTGCCACTGTTTTCTGTGGTGTGTCTTCTGTGATGGCTATTCTAGGTTGTCAATTTGACTACATCTGAAACTAGCTAAAACCCAAATGGCTGGACAACCCTGTGAGGGACTTTAATTAAGTATCCACCTTTAATTTGGGCCATATCTTCTGTTGGTAGCCTACATAAAGGACACAGAAGAAAGAAGCTTGCTCTCTTTGCCTGCTTGCCCTCACTCTCGCTAGCAAGTCCATTCATTTACTGGCATTAGAGCCTACTTCTTCAGGATTCTGGTGTAGGACACTCAAGACCAGCTGAGACATCCAGCCCCAGGGACTGAATGACTACTGGATTCTTGGAACTTCCATTGGTAGGCAGCCATTGTTGGACTAGCTGGACCACAGGCTATAAACCATTTTAATAAATCCCCTTCATATATACAAGAACAGAGCTTATAGAAAGAATATATATGATATATATCCATATATTTCATGTATTTCATATATATTCTTTCTATAAGTTCTGTTCTTCTAGAGACCCCTGACTAACACACCTTCTGTAGACTTATTTGTCAGAGGACTGCTCCCTTGGCATCCTGAGAGCAGAGAGCTATGACATTTACTGCCAACCTTTTGGTTGGAGTCCTTCTATTACCACTAGTTCAAAGGTTCTACCATCCTACTCAACTTGCTACTCCCACATGGTGACCTTCTGTTTTCCAATTTGAATTATTAATGCTGTCTGAATAAAGCCCTCATCATTTCTTCAGCCTTAGCCATCTACCCACTTTATTCTCAGAGCGGGCAAGACAATTATTCAACAGAATTCATGAGGTTGATTGACAGTCTCGATGGCACACATCTTAAAGAGGAGGAGACTGGAACCGACAAACATATTCTTGTGTGTTATCGTTGGGCTGTGCAGCTTATTAAGGTTTGACCTCTGAGTCTGGATTTTACTTGGGGCTTGTGTTCTTTCTTAGCCATAGATTATAGTTTTGCCTTGATTATTCTATGACGGACTATCAGGACACCTGCAGACAGTCCCTGGCGTCTACTGTTACCTGAGTTCACAGAGAAGTGGGAGTGTCCCAGAGTGCACCTTAATGCATCTCTCATAGACACACAGTTAAGTATTGACGTTCAGAAGTCATGCATGGGCTACTAGGAGATAAAAATCCCAAATCACCTTACCAGTCTGCAGGAATCACATGTAGAACCCTTTCAGTCTTTAGGACCCTCCTTTGTACATTTCCTAGAAAGTGTGTCTGTGCCCCCTTAACAGTCAACTCTGGGACTGACCTTTGCTCCCAGGTAAATGAGAGATATGCAGCCACCTCCTCTATGTATATAAGAACATGAGTGACCAAAAGATGAGTCTGGAATGCAGTAAAGGCATGGGCAGTGTTTCCTCACTCGAGATGCCATTGTTTTCTGCCTATCCCATGTCACAGGCTGAACAGTGTCCCAAGCAGATTCAGGCACTTCCAAGGGGCTTCGCCTTCTGCTGATGTTTGCCCATCAGAGGCAGAAGGCAATGCAGTGTGGCCCTTTTCAGATGTGTACTTGTGACATCCTCCACCCAGCCTGCTCTCAAGCAAGGCAGCAGGTGCAGTGGTGTGTAGCAGTCTGCTGGAGGTGTGGCTCTTTTCCGGCCTCCAAAGTTCTACTCTCTCTCCAGCTGTGAGGCCAGAGGGTTCTGTAGACACACTCACATAGACCCATGCCAGGGATCCCTTGCCAGACAGGAGTACCTCTGACCAGAGCCAGGCACTGGATGTCTCATCATCCAGTGAATACAATCAAAGTCTGGGCACCTGTCTTCTTCTTGCTAAGAAGGACTGGCCCAAGTAGAACTTGATGATTAGAAAGAGAAGCAATTTAAGGTCTCCCAAAGGTAGCACTGTCAATCCCAAAACAGTTAGAACTTGATATGTGCCCAGGATCAGTGTGACCAAGGGTTCCTAGGTATGCAATGACACACTCTTGTAAAAGAAAACAAGCTCCTTCTATTTGCCTTAAAATATTTAACCACTCTAAATACTGTGCTGTGGGTAAGAAGTGAGGGCCAGGGCTTACGGCTGTGCACCGACTTTTTCACTGTTTCTCATCCTTGCACTTAGTCACAAAACCCAGAGGAACTATTTAGCAGAAGAAGCATTCTGTGGAATATTGAAATTTTGCCTTGTGTCTCCTGTTTAGCTTCATAGAGATCATATTCTCCCTGCAAATGTCTCTAAGCAGCTTTGTTTTTATTTTGAAGGAACTTTATAGTTTTTCAAGAACATGTGCTGAGAGAATTGAGTTTTCACTGTTGCCTGTGGAAAACTTGGTATCGTCATCACCAACGGGGCAGACAATCGGGCCCCCTCCCCTTCTCTATGCAGATGGACATGCGCTTACTCTAGCTGCATCATGGGTAATTGCTGTTTAACCTTGTAAAATCCCAAGGCTGCATGGGTCGGCCTGGCCCTTTAAGACAGAGAGTCAGTTTAGAATGGGCAGGTTCCCTGGAGTTCTAAAGCTAGATGTGTGGAGGGCACAGAGAGCTGTTGGGATATGGCCTAGATGAGCAATGTCTTGGCAGAAGCCACCATCTTAGGCTAGGTGAAATGACCCAGGATGCCTTGGGGGGGGCATGGAGGGAGGGTACTCCCTGGAGAGAGGGGTTTAGGTGCCAAAGTTGGGGAGTGTTGAGTCCCTCTGCTGAGAAACCATGGATGCCAGTCCAATTTGGCAGAAAACCATGGGGCCTGGGGCCAGCAAGGATGAGGTGGGCTGCGAATAGCTCTGCTATATAGATGCCTTTGTCTGTCTCTCACTAGGAAACACCTTGTCTCCAGCCAGATTCCCTGTCACTGTGGCTCAGCTTCTCATTTTTTGTTTAAACATATGGCCTAAGTTTGTGAACACAAGTATTTATGTGTAGAAAACAGGAAATGTGTTGCTATATTTATGATTTGGGGTTAGGACATTCCCAAAGGTTCTGCCTGAGAGACCCTGCCATTAACCAGTCCTCAGTTTCTTTCCCAAACCCGCCAGTGGTCACCATCCCCTACACTGGAAAGGGGGTGGGAATTAGCTGTAGTGGGGCTTTGGTGGCCAGTGGGAGGGGAGTTATTTAGTTGCTGGTGCCTGTGTTATCCCATGGAAGGCTGCTCCTCGCTTTTCCTCTCCACTGAGCTGTCTCTTGCTGGGCTCTTCCCCCAAGGCTCCAACTCTAAGGTTTCCATGAACCCCTGCTTCTATGTCATCATTACTTTAGGTTATGGAGTTGTAGGTTGGGGACAGAGGTTTGTCCTGTTGAGAGGCAGTCAAAGGCATTCATAGCAGAGGTCTGATGAAGGACTAAGACTTCCCAGGTGCCCTCTTGAGGCCCTGCTCACCTCAAGGTAATGCTGGTGGTGATCACTCACGTGATCAGGCACCATGCTGACTCCCCAAATCAAAGCATCTCCCACCCACCTTTGGGGACACACCACTTGTAAGTGGCCAGGTCCTTTCCAGTCTGTGGTTTCCAGACATGGAAACCTTTTCTTGGTCAGCTCCAGGTGGAGACTTCCAGGCAGTAGGGTGGGAGACTCAGTGAAGCATGGCTGGGCTTTCTCCATCCTAAGTGGGAGGATTGGAAGACCATCAGCTGATAACCAGAGGGACAGAGATGGGATGCACCAAGAAGCCCCCGTGACCCTTCTCCTTTGCAATCAGAATGCTTACTGGTCACCTCGAGGCTACAGAGTCAGTGAAGTCAAACGATGCTAGAGGACCCGAGTCAGGGAGCAGGGGCCAACCATGAGAAGAAGACCGATGCTACAGCTCAGGGCCCTGGGGAGGGCAGCAAGCCTGAGGAGGTAAGCCAGGCCAAGAAGCAGCATGTCCCTTGGATGGGGAATGGATTGGGTAGAACTCTGCCTCTTGTCTTGAGACCTGCCATTCCTTTCTACAACTCTGGTTGTAGCTCAGTGTGATCTCGCTCTGAGCTGGTCCAGCCTCTGGGATGCCTTTGAGTGACAGGTGAAGAGCTGAGAATACAGAACACCGTGGCTCCCTTCTTCTAGTCCACGAGAAGGTGTCAGGCTTCTGAAAATGCGTCAGATTTTTCAGGACATTTGCAGTCCTTAAATCATGCCAGGAAACTCCCCAATCCTTACAAACACACACACACACACACACACACACACACACGCACGCACGCACGCACGCACGCACGCACGCACGCACGCACGCACGCACGCACGCACGCACGCACGCACGCACGCACGCACGCACGCACGCACGCACGCACGCACACACACACGCACGCACGCACGCACGCACGCACGCACGCACACATGTGCACATTGCTTCCACATATCCAGTCTCTTGTTTTATTTGTTTCATGGGAGGCTGTCACTTCTCTTAGGATCTGACCCTGTTTATTGTCAGAACAAAGCTGCAGCTTCCACTGGGTCAACTGAAGAGGCCCACAGAAAACCTGGGGTGTGAAGATTAAAACTTTCTGATTCCAGTCGCTGTTTGAAAGCTAGCAATACATCAATCACAGTATATCTGAGGGCTCACTGTGGACACTGAGGATATAGTGGCATGACTAACATGACCTTGATATTGACAGTGTTAATTTAGTACTAGGTCCTTACCTAACCATATCTTACATTTTGTCAGTACTGAGTGGGGTATTAGGTTCCTTAGGAGGCCTGCTAATGTCACAGAGCCTATGCTTGGTGGCTGCCACAAGAAACCTGGGGCCTTTTGACTGAATGTGTGAGGATCCCCTTGCAGTAAGGGGCTCAGAGACCATAGGTGAAGTCACCAAGTAGCCCAAGCATGTAGAGGTGGGGGCCTTGGTACATAGCCCTCACAGAGCACGTGAGGAGGGGAGGACATGTTCTTTTCTGTGAGGCACGAGATGACTCTTCAGTGTTTCAGGGATTCTTTTTGTAGAAGATTCATGTTCTAGCTTTCTTCCCAGAAAGCAAAGGTGTGGAGGGGTTAAAGGATGGAGGGGAGGGTTTAATTCTACAAGCAGAACCGACTGCAGTGTGTAGAGGTGGCCCCCGGGGCTCCTCAGGAACAGCATCCCACACTGTGTTAGGTTCCTAATGTATATGGAAGGACAAGATGTGAGCCCCTGGTCAGAGAGGTCACACAGCAAGCACTGTTGAAGATAGGCAGAGGGATATGGGTGTCACTATAACACAGTATCCCACAGAGAACATCAAAAGGTCACGGCACTATGTCATGTAATGAGGAAGTGTTCAGAAAATGGTGTTTTCTGCCGGGCGTTGGTGGCGCACTCCTTTAATCCCAACACTTGGGAGGCAGAGGTAGGGGGATCTCTGTGAGTTCGAGACCAGCCTGGTCTACAAGAGCTAGTTCCAGGACAGCCTCCAAAGCCACAGAGAAACCCTGCCTCAAAAAACCAAAAAAAAAAAAAAAAAAAAAAAAAAAAAAAAAAATGGTGTTTTCACCACGGGGAAGGTGAAGCAGAAGTCACCTTGAGTTATCTCATGAGTTTGGCCCCTGGTCACTGACACGCTGCCCATCCCTCTTCCCAGGTGGGTGGCTTGTTGATGTCAAGGTTTACTAGGGTCTGAGAACTACTGTGGGTTGGAGTTACAGTTTGAATTTCAGATGTCCCCCCCAAAGATCATATGTGCAACACTGATGTCCAGTAGGTGCTGCTATTGGTAGGTGGTGGAGGCTAAGGCTAAGTTAGGTCATTAGGAACATGCCTTTGAAAGAACTAGTGAAGTCCCAGGCCATTCTCTCTCACTCTCTCTCACTCTCTCCCCCTCTGTCTGTCTCCCTCCCTCTCTCCCCCCCCCCCCCCCCCCCCCCCCCCCCCTCCCTCTCTCCCCTCCCCCCCTCCCCTCTGTCTCCCCCTCTGCCTCCCTTCCTATCTCTCTCCCCCTCTCCCCCTCTCCCCTTCTTGGTTGTCATAAGTGAGTAGTTTTGCTACAGTGCTCTGTCTCGCCACAAGCCCAAAGTGACAGAGCCCAGAAGCTGTGAACTGAAAGTTCTGAAACCAGAAGCCTAAACAAAATTTTCTTCCTTCTAAGTTGGTTCCCTCGGGTCTTTTCTGACAGGGACGGGAATCTGACTGACACAGTTGGTCCTCTGCTAAGAGTTTCTTACAGCACACATGTTCTGGAAAGTTAACACCGTCCTTCACTGGAGATTCAAGGCCCCCAGTTCCATGCGTCCCCTGGGAGCCATGCCTCCTTCTGGAAGACCTGAATTGTAGGTTGCATTTATGACACTTTGTGCACTGGGGGAATAATATCACAGCAATCTCTCATCTAAATATGCGATTCGCATATATTAATAAAAACAGAACTTTTTTAAAAGAACTATTCTATGTGAGAAAAGTATCCAGGGGTTTGATTGGCAGAGATGCACTTCTGGTTTGCCACCATAGTCCTCTGCACCAAATCCTCCGAATCTGGTGTTAGGAGCAAAGTTCCCAGAAAGGGAGAAGAATGTTAAGACCAAAATGCAATCACTTCCCCATTGTCTCCAGAACTGGGAGAGCAAAATGGCCAGAAACTTCTAATGTGTACATTCTCTCTGTAAGATTCAGTCCATCTGATCTGTGGTCCTATTCTTAAAGGTGATCCCTATGGAAGGAAAGAGAAGTGTTCTCCTCACCCTTAAAGGAGGAAAACAACAGGCACACACACACACACTCACACAGCACACACACATATATATACACACTCACACACACATACACCCACACCCTCCACACACACACACCCACACACCCACACATACACCCACCCCCACTCCCCATACACACACACACACATATACACACACACTCACACCCACACATACACTCACACACACCCCACATACACATATACACACACTCTCACATACACACACATACACCCCCCCCACACACACACACGTGCACACACACACTCACACACATACACATACTCACACACATACACAAACACACTCTTACACACACACATATACACACACACACACACACACACACACTCACACACACATACACACCCCTCAGGGCCAACGTTTCCCACAGAGGACGTCTATAGAGCTCTGTTGGGACACCTTCTTCAACACTGAGCAAAGTGACAGGACAAAGGACAAGCCTCCGAGAATCTGGGGCAGCAACTGATGGGAAAGCAATCACTATGGGGGAAGGTGTTCCTAGACAGGGCCTTATCAGCCCCAGCAGTATCCCAGGTGATAGTGCTAACTGTTCTGTGATGGGGACAAGTGCCTCTGTCTCCCTGATCTGTCCCTTTGGGCAAAGAGGCAGAAGAGCACTTTTCTCACTTGATTTGTCTCATTCTCCCGTTTGCCATCAGCGCCTCAATCACCAAGCTCAGGAAGCAGGTGGGAGTGGCTTCTGCTGGCGTCTGATGGTACCTGTTGGGTGTATACATTAATACAAACAAATACATGACTTTAAAATTGGCATCAAGTAATAAAGTACCAAATCCCCCTCACAAGTCAGCAGATACAAAACCTAGTGGCATTTTCCAAGTAAAATCCTCCACGCTAGACATTTTCCACTCTTAGATAATAATCTGAGGCCACTTTGTTTCAGCTCTCTAGGGGGAAAGAAACAGGCTCAGAGCAGTTAGGTGGCAAGGAATTAGTGAAGTCAGGACTAGAGTCTGGGTCCCAATCAATTTTGGACTCACGGTGGCAGCTCCTTTTTTTTTTACTGCCCCCAAGGAGAAGGCTGAGGGAGAGAAGTGAAACTCTTTCACAGAAATGTTCTAGCAATGACTATACCTCACCAGCCATTGGAACTAGTTGGAGTGTGTGGAGTAAGTCCTGGTGGACACACTTGGTAATGGTGCACACACTTGGTAATGATGGCTGAAGCTGATTTTTCTCTTTGGAGGTGGATGACATTCCAGAAGTCCACAATCTCTTTTGGGGAGGACTCTGTTTTGGGTGGTTGGCACTTCCTCAGGGAGCCTGAGAAGTGCCTGTCATTCTCTTCCCACCTCAGAGATTGCAGAAGCAGATCTGTGACCTTGCATCAGAGCTCACAAGACAGGCGGCTTGGTGGTGTGCCGCTCACAAAGACCTCCAAAGCCAGATCAACGCTCTGGTTAAGGATAATGAGGAGCTCCGTGAGGAACTGCAGGCTCTGAAGCAGCAGGGCGTGGACTCCGATAAAAGCCCTGTAGCCTCCACACCCTCAAGAGGAGCAGCCAACACTATGGTACAGCAGGTTTTCTGCCTTACAAAGATAATGGCACATGAAGGCCAGTCCTCTCCCTTGTAGGTACTTTGTGAGGGTTTACAGTCTGTCCCTCAGTCATTAATCACACAGAAGTGGCAGTTAGTCTTGGATGGGCCTTCCTGGGAGTCCTGGGAACAGAGCATGTCTCTACTCTGTCCCCAGGATACACACAGGCTCTGATGGAGCAGGTGGACACCTGGGCAGGCCACCTCAGGATTCCAGGTTCCTACTTTACCTTAAGCGATGGACTGGATCCTGTCATTAACTCCACCGAGGCACAGGGGGAAGGAGGACTTAGATATAACCCTGTGACTTAATGACTGAGACCTGGCTTCTGTCACTGGTAGAAGCTGAGAGAGGTCCTATGGGAGATTTTATACAACCTTTGATACCATGTGGGCCCCATTGCCCCTTGTTCATGGTAGGTGGGTAAGATGTGCCCACGAGTCAGCTGGGTGTCACTCAATCTCCATCAGACATCGGTCTCTCACCAGTGCTCACTGCCTGTGCGCAATTCCGCTCCTCGTGTGACTGCAGATAACCTTTGAACAACAAGAAACAAGGTGTGAATGCCACACTAAATTTGCCCAGGGATATCTGTATTCAAACACGATTCTAGGGATGATGTCAAAAGGTCTGCCATGTGCACACATGTGTGTGTGAAGTGCACAGTTGTAGGTTAGCACTGGAGAAATGGTGCTGGAGGTTCACACCTTCCTCAGGGGAGAGTACTCAGCTTAAAATACCAAGCTTAAAATACTTGCTGACAGCATCCAGAGAAGGAAGACCTATATCTCAGGTTTTTGGCCAGCTGTGTGAGCATTGTGTGACTAAAGGCCTTCTGAAAAGTCATACAGGATCCAACTGCT